AGCTATTAAAAATAATAGCCACATTTAGATCAATAATAGATCACACAGATCCCCTGCAGTTCCTACATGGACTCAGCTGTATTATGGTTGACTATTGACTATTTACAGATACTTTTAATCTTTACTTTTTTCATCTTTTACAACTTATTAATTGATAGATTTAGTAGAAAGTGATAAGAAATTATTGGAAAAATCTCAAGCCGGACTCAAACCTGCGCCACACGCACTATGGTTAACTGCTGCACCACTAAAACCGACCATTAACTCTTGCTATTGTTGATACTCAGGCTTAGAGTTACACTTGTTTCCAGTGTTGTGAATATGTATTGTCTCTCAACGTGATTCCAAATAGCTGTGAGCAAATTTGGAGTGCATTTCCGTGCAGCTGGCGCGTTGATGATTTTAAATAAAAATCCCAGTTAGGATGCTAGCTTTAGCGTTCGGCGTAAACCTCTCTCCTGGGTAATTGAAATATTGTGAATTCAGGAACAGTAGATGCTGGAAAACAGCTTCTCTGTGGGAACACTGATGTTTTTTGTCTCAGTCGGGGATGCTTTATTGAATTCCTCTTAAGGCTAATGCAAACACGGCAGACGGCGAAGGTAAAGTCTCTGACCGTAATTGAAAGTGACTCGTGTCGCCTCAGTTTGAAGAAGGATGTCGCGTTTGCTTGTCCTTTATTATCATCGTTTGCTGGTCTTACGGGTGATTCTCTGCATTAGCCGATCGAGGAAACTGGTTTTAGGAGCCGTTTGGTTTGCTTTAAGGCATAATGATGAAGTTTAGCTCAATTTCAGACACAACAATCACATATTGTTATACATTTTTCAGTGTAAATTGTTCACAAATGCATTTTTACATAATTTTTATATTGAATTTGAACACAATCAAGCAATAAATCTACTGTTTTACAAACAATTAACACAGACATTTGTTCTGCTCATGTTTAATGCACGAGGCCTGTTGTGTTTCTGTACTGTAGGGGGCGATATTTTTAAACCAGGTGTGTAATTGCTATAAGTATACTGGCATTTTAGCTAACTTTCTCTCAACCAGTTATAGCTATAGCATCCTTAGCAGCATTATTGCATTGTGAATTGCAAGAACATTTCAGACCGTGTGATGTTTGAAATCTAGTTTGCGTAGTTAGAAGTATTTCGACCCTTAAGAAGTGTTTTGTTATTAGTGAATTAGTTTTTATGCTTTTTTTGTAGTGAAAGAAATATTTAGTTAAATACATAAGCAATAATCTACAGTAAGTGAGTCATTATCGCAAAATAGACCCGAATATGAGAAGAAATTCAGGAACACTGAATTCAGCCTCCTCTTTGATGGTGGTTTGTTTTTGAGCCTTTATTTTGCAATAATGATCGTCTGTCTGCACATTATCCCACTTATTAAGCAGCTACTTAACAAAGAAATTAATATATGAACATGAAATGTTCAATTCAGCAAATTATTTTATTAGTTCACTTGTAAGGAGTGTGCGAAGACAAAACTTGAACATACACTACCTTTCAGAAGTTTGGTATTGGTAAGATTTTTTAATGCTTTTGTAAGAAGTGTCTAATGCTTACCAGGACTGCATTTATTTATTTATTTTTATTTATTTATTTTCAGCATCATTACTCCAGTCTTCAGTGTCACATGATCCTTCAGAAATCATTCTAATATGCTCATTTGCTTCATTCTAATATGCTGATTTGCTGCTCAAGAAACATTTCAGATTATTATTAATGTTGAAAACACTTTTGCAGCTTAATATTTCTGTGAAAACTTATGTTTTTTAATAGATCAATAGAAAATTTAAGAGAACAGCATTTATGTATTTATTTTTAAATAAATATTTTATAATATTATATACGTCTTTACTATAATTTTTGATGCATCTCTGCGGAATAAAAGTATTAATTACTTTTCTTTAAAAAAAAAAAAAGTGTAGCTCTTTATGAAATATTCGTTTTAGAAATAAGCAGTTAATTATAAAGTGTTGTCATGGACGATGTCATTAATATCAGAAATATTTGACTGCTGAATGCCACGATTGACCAATCAGAATTAGTATTCCAGGGAGCTGTTTGTTTATCACTATGTTTCTGAGTTATGTAAAGTGTCAGATATCGTGTTATTTATGGCTCCAGCATGCTAATCACTTCAGTTTTGGTGTGATTGAATCGTTAAGAAGAATGTCTCCTTCAGCAATAGGACTTTCTGTCTGGAATTGGGGTCACAGAGGTCATTTCCAATTCTGATACTAAAAAATGATTTCACATATATCCCAACATTACCATATTAAAATGGCCTGAGGATCTGAAGCATCATGAATACTAAACTGCTTTATAATAGATCAGCCCATACCGTAATGAATCATTCCGTAATGAATGATGCAGAATATGAGAGGTTTCCACGATGGTTCTTAGGAAGCAAACAGCTGATGGTTTATCATGCGAAGCAGACGTGGAGGTCGGTCTGGCATTCCTGTGGGCTCAGACGGACCTGCGTTTACCCTGTTCCTCCTGGGAGACTGTCATGTCACGTCTGTCTCTCCTCACAAAAACACAGACTCGTCTTGTTAAAGCTGATGTGTCATTTCTTCACACATCATCATTAGCTTTCATAATACGTCAAATGAAGCTGAATAATTGGAAATAGCTTGATTTTATCCCTCAGGATTTGATTGGATCATGAAAAGTGCGCTATGAATATTATGGGCTCATTTTTTGTTTCTCTTCACACATATGGTCTAAGTTACAAATTGTTTGAAAGGTAAAAGTTGTTATTAAAAGTTAGGTGAAAGAAAAAGTTGTTTATTTATTTATTTTAATTTAATGTTAATTATTATGAAATTAATATTTATTTTTGGAATTATTCATATATTAATTATGCCATTTTTAAGATGTTTATTTTTGTGCTTTATTAATATTATTTAATTATTAAGGTTTTTACATTTATTTTTATTTATTTTATGGCATTATTAATATTTGTATTTTTAATAGTTATTAGGGAATTGTTCATATTTATTGTTCATATTTAATTTTTATTGAATATTAATTAGTAAATTCATTAGTGAGTTGATATTGAAAAAGACCATTTTTTTTCTTTCTTCCTCCTGTTTCTCTTTCTGTTTCTCTCACTTTGTGTTTTATTTGGGAGAACGTATTCAGCTGTGGAGTTTTTATTTTAATATTAATTATGGTGTTACTAAGATTGTTTTGATTTATTAATTATGGGCTTATTAAGATTTTTAAATTTTTATTTATATTTATTATGAATTATGGGATTGTTGAGATTTTTTAATTGTGGTTTTTTAGCAATATTATGGAATTAATAAGATTGTTATTCTTATTTTTTATAATTATTAGTATGTATTCTTATTTTTATTTAATATTAATTATTTTGTAAATCAAATATGATTTTATAATATTTTTTTAAATACATTACAGTAGGGATGCACAAGACATTTCTTTCTCTTTTCTTTCTCACTCTCTGCTTCTCTTACTCTCTCTCTCTCTCTCTCTCTCTCTCTCTCTCTCTCTCTCTCTGTCTGGCTCTGTGTTTTATTTGGGAGAAAGTATCCAGCTGTGGAGTTTGTACAGATTAGGGGTCATAACCTTGGCTGGCAAAGTTAGTCGCTTTTATACGCCATCAGACTAACTGCAGTGTTGAGGTTCTTATTTTAGACAGTTTAATCACAATCGTCTAGACAGGAGGTTGCACTTCTGAGCTGCGTACAGTCCAGTTCATCTGTCTGAGCGTCTCGCCCCCTCCGCAGTGCGCCGTCGCTGGGTTATATCAGCCAGCCAACACCGCTCTCAGTCTGGCCCCGGGCGTCTGTGCTGCTATGTATGCAAAGCAGCTCGCAGATCACATGATCAGAGTGACAGAACAGCTTCCTGCTCCCAAACACTGTGGCTACTGCCTGGCATCTCAGAATACCTACACAAGGTGTGTGTGTGTGTTGAAAATGAATTCAGCTTGGGTCGTCATCATTGACGTCTATGTCTCTCTCCTCCTACAGCTCTGGTGCTATGACAACAACGCTGCTGCCTTCCCACCAATCACACCTCTATCTCCACGGACACATGTGCATGCTGTTCAGTCCAAATATTTAAGATTTAACCTCTACTAACCGGTATTATGGCATATGATAGATGTTTTTTTGTAGACTTCATGTAATGTGAGGTCATGATGGGTGAATATTGAAAAACCCTTTTAGGTCCTGAACATGCCTGGATCAAATTTTTACTCCAAAATCAAAAGAAAAAAATTCTAAATTATATTTTGCATGATGAAATGGAACCTATTTATAGATTTACTGCATTGTGACGTTATTTTGATGACAGTTAAACACATTAATGTCACATTTTACCCCAAAATCAAAAGAAAAAAATCAGGATTATATTTTGCATGATGAAATGGAGCCTATTTATAAATGTATTGCATTGACATTATTTTAATGACAATTAAGCACATATTTTCACTCATATTCTCATTACCATAATAAAAGTATTTTTCATTACTTTTATGTGAAAGCAAAAATTACACATTATTTAAAATTATTTATGCATCATGGTAGAACTTGTTGCATCATTAAACCTTTAAATAACATTGATTAAAAAAAAAACATTGTATTTCGGAAATACAGTAATCTATTGAGAATAATGGGGAAAAAATACATGATGATAAAAAGAATAGGAAGGAGACTTGTTTAATTGTCATAAAAATAATATTGCAATGAAAAAAAAAAACCCATCATGTTCCTAAAGCTTATAAAAATATAATTGATATTTTTTTTAGTTTGATTTTGTGGTTAAATGAGCCCTAGACATGTTTTTTTGTGGTATGCGCTCTTTAGTTTGCAGACTTTATTTCAGCAAGAGAATTTTGCCCTGAGGTGCGCGGAGCTCTGTGGCAAAGGTGCAATAAGTGGGCGGAGTCTGTGTTTGTGAGAGGCGGGTTTGAATTCTTGTGTAAATTTGGTGCTCTCCGCATGGTCATACCAGAGCCGTTCAGACAGACCAAAAGGAGCAGAACCACACGCATTCCTGCTCCCAATCTCACAGTCAATCCAAGACAGAAGGAAAGGGGGAAGGGGAAGGAGGTAAAAAGAGTGTGGGAGAGGGGAGGAGAAGAGGGGGGAGATCGCTGAATGGACACAGCCCCCCATCCCAAGCTGTTTCAGTTCCCGTCCACTCACGTGGGAGTCAGTATATTGTGGAGTTGGAGACGGAATGTGGACGGCGATGCGGGAAACATGAGATTTTAGAAAGGACGCGTGTCATTGGGTCACAGGATCGCCCCCTGGGAAGGTAAGACATTTGTGCGGTTATTGAGGTGTGGCGGCAGGCTTTGGGTTTGTGTTGATGCTTTTCAGGAGAAGACACGCTGCAGTTTCACGGCTTCAAAGACTCTGGATATCTGTCGAGAGGCAGAGAAAGCAGATAAAAAGGATTTCCCACATCTGAACAGCACAGTCTGTACGTCTGACTTTGTCTGTCTCTCTTTGACTTGCTCTATTTGAACATTCAAAGAAGCTTATTGACATGGTAAACAAGGGTTTTTGCATCAGCAAAACATTAATAACATTACATGTTTATTGTTGGGTATTTTATACTGAACACAGATCTTGCAGACTTTTTGTGGATGTGTAAAGTATGTTGGTCACTTTCTAGTGTTTGTATCTCAATGGTTACATAAGTTTAAACTTAGAATTGTTCTTATTAAGGTTTCACATAGCTGATAATATCCTTAGTCAAAATATTCCTGTTGGAATTTCAGTCATTATTTGCGATCAATCCTAAAAAATCCTAATGGAATCGCTTAAGAATTGCATTAGATTCCGTTAGATAAAGCGAAAATGATTGCCTTTGATTTTATTCATTCTTTTTTTATTATTATTATTTGAGACAGGGTCACAACCATATTCACAACCTGGAAATATCAGGGAAGTTTATATATATATATATATATATATATAATATTTTACATTTTAAGTTACTATTGCCTATAAATGGCCCTCTTTAAAGGCAAAATATCTCTGTAAAAGATTTTTAAATTCCTTATCCAATAATTTGGAATAACTGGGAAAGCCCTCTGTTGAGCCCTGTTGAGTTCTTTTGGATTTTGAGTAGTCATTATCAGAACTTTACCTGTATTTTGTTGGAATAATGTCTTAACTAGAGTTTAAAGAAAGCTACAGGAGTTTTAAAACCCTGAAAGATTTGCTTTAAAGTCCTTGTGATGTTCTACATGGACATTTGATCCCACTGGGAACCAAATAGTCCTTTTGTGAACTATCTGTTCTTAAGATCTACTTGTTGTTTGCTGGAATTCTATGTTGGAATTCCCAATAGGATCCAATTGAAGGCAAACATTCTAGGATTTGTTTGGCTGGGGATATGAGTTTGCATGTGTGACATTTGGACTGTGGTTTGCAAAATAAGTTTTGTCGCAAGCAAAGTTGCATGTCTTAATAATGCTGCTTTTCCAATTGCCTGTTGCATATCAAAAAGATACATCCTTAAAGAACAAAGCTCATTTAAAGCATTGTTATTGTCTTCCACCCGTGGTCTTGTAAATGCTAATTGAACTGGTAGTTAATGACAGAACATCAACACACAAACACAGGCTTTCTGCGGGTGTCAGACGCTATAAACAGTCCATGCGTGTGTCGTTAGAATGACAAAGCTCCTGAGCTGCTGCTATTGTGTAGCCGTGTGAGGAAGATGATGAATTGCAAATGTGTGAGTCGGTCAGAGTCAAGGAGAATCCCCTCTGAGCATGTCCTGGTGTGAAGGACTTTAGATGGGCTGAATTCATTCACTCTTAATGGCCTGAGAAAAGGAAAGGCAGAAAGACAGAAGGAATCTCTCATCTGCTGGTATACAGATGGAAATGAATCAGCCATCCGCAGTCAGGCAGGACAGGAGGTCAGCGCTGGTGGACGCAGCTGTGAAGTGCATTGCATCATATGAGAGCCAGTAGAGAACACATATAGAGAGTAAAAAAACTTAAAGCTGGTCTGAGTCACAAGCAAGGTCAGATTTGGGCCAAAAGTAACCAAAATATGGTGGCAAAAAGGTCCCTTTAGCAAATTCTTGCTTCTTGCTGGGGTTACTTGTCACACTTTTGCCCTAGTTTCTAGGTTTATTTTATCAGAGACTGAGAAACTTTCTTTGAGCAGGAGTTTAGATTCACACTTCATTGAAAACATATTGAACCTTTGTGACAACATGCCCCAATAGCATCACAAAAAGGTCCCTTTAGCCAATTATTCTTGTTTAACATTTCATATAGAGGAGATTGGGGCTAGTTGTCACACTTTTTACTTAGTTTCTCTGCTTATTTTCAAAAATCTGTTTCTGAGAGACAGTTTCACCATTACAGATCAGGAGTTTAAATTCACAGTTCATTAAAAACACATTGACCCTTTGTGACAACATGCCCCAATAGAATCTCTTTGGCCAATTCTTGTTGTTTAACATTTCTTATAGAGATAACCTTGGCTAGTCACACTTTTTTTTTTCACACTAGTCACATGCCCCAATGGCATCACAGTGGAAACCTGCCATGAAATGTTGTACGTAATGATTTAAGCTACATTTCATGTTGATTTGATTGTATATTTAAGCCATAAGTGTTCAAATTTAAGATTTATGTCAGTTAATTGATTCAGTCGAAGTGTTTTACAAAAATGATTAGTGTGTTGTTAATTCAGTATGCCCTTCTGAAGGTAAAAATGGCCCTAAATACCAGTTCCAAGGGCCAAATATTTGCCCTTAATAGGCTAATTTCTGAATAAATATAGAGAAACAATATCAATACTTTGTTTTGACCGTAGTCAAGTCAAGTCAAGTCAAGTCAAGTCACCTTTATTTATATAGCGCTTTTAACAATACAGATTGTGTCAAAGCAACTGAACAGCATTAATTAGTAAAATAGTGTCAATAAAAAATTATGGTGTATAAAATTGATTTTAAGATAAAAAATTAGATGACAGAATTAACTTGACGGAGTTCAAACTCAAAACACACGGCAGCAACAAACAGGAAGTGACATATTAAAGTTATTATTCCGTAGTGCAGTTCAGTTTTCATAATATCCATACGGGAACCAGCAATCAAGCCTACAAAGGTTTAATTGTTATTTAGTTCTGCACGAGTGAAGAACTAAACAGGTTTAATACAGACCCAAGCTTTTTCTTCCCTTGAAAATAATTGATTGAAATAGTTTCCTTCTTTACTCGGGGGACACACTGACTTTGATAATTAAAAATGAGGCTAGAACGTGATTTTCATAAATACAGATCACTTTCATTGTGCTTTGATGTGGTCATTGCCGCTGGGTTGCGTTTCCTATACTCAGAGTTGTTAATTAACTCTCCTGGATTGATTTTGGGGGGTTAGAAGGATTCAAAACCATCTTAAGCATGAGATAGTATCTCATCCTGCACTTATGCATTGTTTTCCAAACAGATCCTTCAGAGTTTTATGACTTACAGGCCATACCTGGAATACTTCCCTGTCAACAGGATGGAGTGATGTGTTCACACTAGCAGCTGAGTGATAGTAGTGTTTAAACACGGGGAATCCCTTTTTATCTGTTAGCCTCTCAACTTTCATGTCAAGATGCTCTGGTCTAGCTCTGTTCCATAACCCAGATAGCTGCTTTTCGGTCTACACAGGCAGCATCTTAATGTAAATGAAGCCTCATACTGTAAGTGACTGATTTCAAAAGCTTGTTGCACAAATAGAGACTTGACTGCAATTGACTACATGTTTAGTTCTAATTGTATTTATTAATTGTTCATATAGTTTTCTATAAATGTATTAATTTTATTATAAATAGAAATATAAAATGTATTAATATATGAAAAATATTACAGTTAATTCCATTATTATTTAGAATTTAATTTCATATTTTAATATATTTTTGTAAATGTTTTATTATAAATAGCAATTTGAAATTAATTTATTAATCCATTTTTTGTAACTACACTAGAGATGTGTTCCAATAGTGTTTATTATTTTATTTTTTATAATTTAATTTAATAATTTTATATATGTATTTATATAAATGTATTGTTTTTACTATAAATAGAAATATAAAATTAATTTATTAGTCACTGTTTTGTATAACTACACTAGAGACTTTTTTTTTACAATTTTTTTATGTATAATTTTATGTAATATTTTTATATATTTATTTATAAATGTATTATTTTTTATTATAATACAAATATGAAATTAACTTATTAGACATGACTACAAATAATTTCAAGAGTTTATCATTTATATTTTTATTTAATAAATTATTTTAATTTTAATGAAGAAATATGAAATTAAATTATTATTGAGCTTTTATGTCAATACTCTGCAGTACTGAATGAAATAAGTATTTATAAACATTTCTCTTGCTCCGATATTATTTTGGATGATTTCGTTTTCTCTGTGCACTGCATTATGGGCTTGCCTTCTCCACAAAGCATGCATATGATGATCTGGCTATATCTTTTGTTTTGATGGTACATACTTACTTAAAATGCCTTAGAAGTGCTGTCTAGGTAAGCAGCTCACTAGGTTTTGTCTCACTCCTGTGGCCTATAATTCCGTTTACCCAGAATGCATCAAAAACACCATTCATACCTGTTCCACCCTGCGTTTTGATGAGTGATTTAATTGAAGGGTTATTATCTCTGGGGTTGAAGGCAGCTGTTTTAAAGGGGTTGTCTATGATGTCAAACCCCAAGGCAGGTGGCTTAGGTCGACAGACTTGTGCACACGGTTAGTTTGTTATTCGTCTTCCAGCTCCATCGTGGCGCGGAGAGAGAAACGGGGCGTTATTGTACTGGAGCCGGATGGAAATTAAAGGCCTGTGATCGGAGCTCGAAGCGTGTAAACTCATTTCAACGTGGCTTTGTGTAGTCATGTGTGTCTGAATCCCGTCTTGTTACGCTCGGCTGCACGGCGCGGGGACGAGGGGTGGGAGGAGAGACCCCAGGGTTCGGCAGGAGGCTTCCACAGGGGAAAAACTCAGATAATGTGCAGGAGAGATTTTCTGGAAGCTGGATTTGGTTAATCTGTTCTCGGCGTATCACACGGGGCTCAGGTAATCAGAGGAACACATGCCATCGCTTGTCCTTCAGAAAATACTTCTCTGAGCTGGAAAAGTTTCTTGGTCTGACCTCCGATGAGCTTTAATCACCTCAATGTGTTTGAGAAAGTGCTGTTTGTCATTTGTTGGTTTGGATTAAGTGTGTTGGGTTTCTGTATGTGCAAATTTTTTGTGTTTACTTTATGAGATGAAAGAA